TATAATGAAGTCACTAGAGGAATCTCTTAGTTCTGCAAAAATATTGAATTAGGAGGCATCATCACTCAAGTATGAGGTTGTGGCCGCCTTTACCTAGAATTTTGAAAAGTCGAGAGGACAGGAATCATTCTTGTACCTAAACTTGGACTTGAGTCAGATGTACCTGTTCTTAGTGGTTTGATATGGCCAGTTGGTGGATGACGAGTAGCTCCCCATATTTCAACCTTCTTGTAATATCCCAATTTTTTAATATCATAATTATTTAATGCATATGAATGTTACTCTTATTTTCATTAGCCCTTGTTATGCTTGTATTGTATTCTTGACTTATACTTGGGTGAAATGACTTGCTACATGGGACCCCAAGCCATCGGCTGCCAAGAAAAATGGGTATATGGTTCCTTATTAGGGTTGTTGCATTGATAGCTCTAGTGGGTGTTAGTATCCCTTGTAAGGATATGATATTCTTGATCGCCTCATAGGTAACAAAGATCCCTCATGTGGATCCAACACTTCGATTATCATGAGGGCGATAAGGACTCTTCTTGATGATCTAAGATTTGATTACCTTGAAGGGCGTAAAGGATCCTTCTTGAGGATCCAACATTTGATCGCCTTCAAGGGTGACAAAGATTCCTCATGGGGATCCAACATTTGTCTACCTCTAAGGGCGACAAGGATCCTTCATAGGGGTCAAGAATTTGATTACCTCCAAGAGTGGCAAGGAAGCCTCCTGGGGATCTAGCATTTGATTGCCTTCAAGGGCGACAAACATCCCTTGGGGATCCAACCTTTGATTTCCTCAAAAGAAGTTAAAGATCCCTCTTGGGGATCCACTGTTTCGATCGCCTCAGAGCAAGGTTTTGTTCAGACCCCTTAGGTTTCTTATAAAAAGAGGAGATATTGATTCAGATTCTTGAGAAATAATGGAATGAGGGGCCTCATCAAAAACCCTTGCTCCTTACAGGATGCCGAGGTAAAAGAGTATGCCCTCATAAAAATAACACGCCCTTACAAGTGGTGGAGATATGATATTCGCCTAATAAAAAATAGTAGCAAATGAAACAAATAACAGTAGAGAAAATAAGAAAATAATGGTAAAGTAAATGGCACCAGGGAGCATTCCCTTTAAGATTTCAATCTATAATCTCGTCTATCTAAGGGAGGGCCTTTTTCGTCTCGACGAGCTTCTCTTCGAGACTTTATTCCCAAACCAACTTTCCTGGTATTGGCTTCTAGAGTCCATGCCTTTTTCAGCTTGAGGATCTTTACATATCACTTTCTGGCGATTTATTTGTCCCCTTGGGTAACTCCAACCCACCCGTCAAAGAGCGGGTATTTCATGCATAAATACAAGGTGGAAAAGGAAACACCCAGCTGATTAAAAGATGGACACCTTATAATCATATTATAAGAAGGGAGGGTTTTGATAACCAGGTACCTGACCATAATCTCCTTGGTTTGTTCTTCCTCCCCAAAGGTGGTCTTCAACGTGATATAGCCTTTCACTTTCACTTGCTCCCCTCATAATCCTACTAGTGATCCCTTGAAATTTTTTAAGTTATCTAGGTCGAGGTGTAGCCTTTCAAACTCGTCCTAGTAGAGGATACCAGTGAAGTTTCCTTGTTCTACGAGAACTCTTTTGAGTTCTCAATCATCTCACATAAAAGTGATAATCATGGGGTCATCAATGCACGAGTGAGCGTCAACTGCATATTTCTATGAGAAGGAAACTTCAACTTTTGGCATCTTTGGCTCACCTTCCCCTAGCTTTTTAGGGAGATTTTTTATATTCAATACATGGTCGGCATACCTTTTACGGGCGGAGATAGTCTCTCTGCCCTCAGTTAATCCTCCTACAATAATATTGAGTGTAAGGAGCACGAACTTATCGCCATCATCTTGAGAAGGTTCCTTTCCTCTTCTAGATCTAGGTCTTCTTCCATCGTCTCGCCCATAGGAGTTGTATCTTCCCGACCCTTGGGAGGGAGCGCTTTTGACATACTTCTTGAGGTATCCCTCCTAGATCAGTTTCTCAATCTCCTTCTTTAGTTACTAGCAGTCCTCTGCATGGTGTCCTTTAACTTTGTGGAACTTAAACCATTTTCCTGGATCGAGTCCCATGATATATGCTTTTGGGGCTGAAGGTACAGGGATATTATACAAGTGGAGGACCTCCCGCAAGATCTGTTCATGGCAAGTGTTTAAGGGCCTGAAACTCTCTATTGTCTTTCCTACTCACTTGAACAAAATTTTATCCTTAATGAGAGAGGTATAGTTGTTCTTTCTTTGGTGTTGAAAGCCTTTGGCACTAGAAACATGTTCCATGATGTCTCGCGCATTTTTCTTGGTGTTACTCTCCTCACTCTTTATGTAGCATTACGTCATTGTGACTATTTCTGCTATCAAAAGCGTTGGTTTCTAGGCAAGAGATTCGTTGAAGTGTCCCGCTTTGAAACTATTTTGGAACGCACCTACGAACATTTCTTGGTTTGGGGAGATGACTCTTATGGTAGCCTCACTGAAGCGAACGAGGTATTCCTTAATAACTCCGATAGACCATGTCATATATTAAATAGGCTGGTGATGGATATCTTCTTGTTTCAATTGGCTCAGAACTGATGTACGAGTTACTTCACCAGTTCTTGATAGCTGGTGATGGAAGCTCGGGGCAGACCCATATACCATTGCAAGGTTGCGTTCTTGAAAGTGACAAACAACAATTTTAACTTTAGGGAAATCAAATCTTGATGCCGCATTGAATCATCAAAAATGCGTTGGGTTTTAAAGGAATGGAAAAACAATGTCAAGGTCAGCGCACTCTTCTTATATTTGCCCCAATATTGAAATACTTTGATGTATGTCCAACTCACCATGTGTAGTTCTGAATGAGTTATCGCCAATTAATTCAGAACACCTATTTCAAAGTCATTGAAACGTAGACAAAACCTATAAAAAAAATAAGCCTTCATGAATAGGGATGAAGCTTGTGGCATACCCTCTTATTCCCTTTGTGATGAAGCATCGCTCAGTCTCAGGAATGACCCACCTCGATGAAGGCATGATTCATACCACCCTTGTCGATGAAGGTGGAAATTGTATTCAACGTCTCTTGGTAGACGTAAACAACTGAGTTGTCTTTTATCACGTTTTGGGTCCTTAGACGAGAGTTATCCATTTCAAAATTCTACCAACGTATAAAGATAAACGAGTGTAAGCAGAAGCACGAGGTTGATATAAAAATAAGTTTCGCATCCCTATCAAAATCATATATATCAAAGAATTTCGCAAAGGCCAGAAACCCTAAACATCTTCCTATAGTAAATACCTTTATCTAATGTCCTACCATTGATGGTGAGTTTCTTTTTCAAAATCTCTTTCTTTAGAAACCCTAAAAGAGCAAACAAATGCAAAAAGAGATAAAGATTTTTTAGGCATTACCTTGGCTGAGATGAACTTGAAAGCTTGTTCATTGAACACTCCTCTAAAAGAGGTGGCATATATCAGTTGAAGCAATAAACAACTGAAAGAGGTTGGCGAAGATAAAAGAAGTTTTAAACATAAAAGAAAAGTTCTAAAGATCCACAAACAACCAAAATGGATATGGTAAGTTTAGGGATCTCCATATATCTTACAACAAAGGCAATTGTATGATCCACAATAATAAATATTAGGAAGTCTGAACCTCACCACCAACAATCGAGATCTTAATTCAGATCAGTCAAAATACTTGAATAATTTAAGAAGACGTCATTGTTGTCTAGCATTGGGCACAAGTCAAGATTTTGTTGCTAAATGTTGCTAATCACAATGAAAACATTTAATGCGCTTGTTTCCAAAATTACTGATGTTCCACCGAAGATCTTCCACTTCTTCCTGTTGGAGGCCAAACTAAAGACTTGCATGAGAAACCCTCATTCTACAAGCATGAATAATGGTTTGGGGGAATTTTGTTCTGGACCGCAAAACAAGTGAGACTTCACCTAAGTTGAGAGTACATGATTTAGACCTTCAACACACTTTTTAATGTTGGATCTGATCGAACGGTCACCCGCATAAGACGACGAATCTCATGGAGACAGTTTCAACTGTCCATCTTATATAAAGCACAATGCGAGTAATTTCAAGTATCATCTCATTCACACACTCAAACTACTTTCTCTCTCACTTCCGCGAGTAATTTCAAGTATCATCTCATTCACACACTCAAACTACTTTCTCTCTCACTTCCGCTCTGTTGCACTGGAAGTTCCCTTCACCGTATCAAAGCTCAAATCTTTTGATTTACACATATGTTGGGTTTCATCATGGATCATGAATTAAACTAGTTGAATTTAGCGTTAAAAGGAATAAAAAAAATACATGGTTCACAAACTCGTGTTTTCACGTTCTAAACCGTATCAACAATTTATGAAGCCAAACTTGAGACCGAGTTGAACAACTAGATTTGCAATTTTATGCGACTTGCAATTTTTCAAAATTTGCAATTTCAGGCATGAATTCGTACTTAGAGGCGAGTTACCTTATTTTAAAACTGGGCCGAAATTTAAAAAACCAATTAAAATGTATTCATTTTGGAGGCATAACTTACTTTGTTTGATACAAGGTTATCAATATGAATCTTTATTACAGTGATTTGATCCATTTTTTGCTTGAGTTTACTTGTCGAATCCAAGTAAACAAAACTATATGAGTGAGCAATACTTACTCTACAATAATATCAACGGACATTATGGTCCATTCTCCTGCTTAGTTGTGTATTATTTTCCCTTTAGGATCAACTGTGAGCTAGTCTGAATAGTGAACAAGATAATGGGGTCAACTTCAATGGACAATGCTATCAAGTAATATCACATTTATCTCTGCAAATTGTTCATAGATTGAAATTCATTTTGCAGAACACGCTCAATCTCGTACATAAAGCTTCAACTTGCACATATACAATAAATGAGACTGTAAGATACAAACTTCAGTTTGCACTAAAATGTTTAATAGTATCATCACTGCAGACCAAAAACAAGCAAAGCTCCAACAGCACCTAACCCAGCCACTAGTCCAATAATAACTCCGATTGGAGGCAACCCTCCACCACCAATAGCTCTTCCTGTGTTAACATCATATGGAGCAAATCTATTCTTCGGTGCTTGACATTGTGGACAGTTGTATGTATCCGGCTGCAATAACATAAATAACGTTCAAATCACAAAAATCATCTGCAAAGAACTACGAAGCAGATACAATACTGACATATGCATTGGTATCATTTCCGTGTTAGACATCTCACACATTTTCAATTTGAAGTGTCAATGTTATATAGATCGAGAAATAAAGTCGGGCGGACTTACCTGGTCACTGAAGGATTTTGGTAAGAAGTATATGTATCCACAGTCAAGGCAAATATGAGTAGCTCTAGCCTGCATGATTTTGACTAACCATTTGAATCATGCAAATAAAAGGTATAGGCAGGAATGAAAATTATTCTATAATGAAAAATGATTCTAGCCTTTTGTGATTCTGTCAATTTTCTCCCGAAGCGAGGAGGAGCAGGACGCTTTGGAAGCCTTTTAACATCTACATTAGCACCTCTTCATAACAAAAAGAGAAAAATATTCTAAGTGTTATGTCATTGTAGCTGTTAAGTAACTGATAAACAAACTGAACTTATTAGCATTACTCGTGCTTTCACTAATCATAGCAAAAGGCAAGAAAATACCTGCTGACAACAAAGTAGACAGAATCAGGCTTAGCTTGGATTGCAGTTTTAGTGAATCCAAGCTTATCTGCTGGCCATAATTCATCTCCAAAGAAACTGCTGGTGTAAAGAACTTGGTCACCTGACTTTAACCCTGCTCTTGCTGCATTCCCCCCACCTTCAACAGCCTAAACAAGATAATAGTCGTCTTCATTAACAAATTGAAATCACTCCCTTCAAACATCATACATGTATCAGTGTCAGACACTAACACATGTCAAAGATCAGACACATCAATGTCACTAACAATTTGAGAATGTAATCACATGTAACGTATATCGGTGTCAAACAATGACACATGTCGAAAATCATACACAGTTTTAATCTGAAGAGTCGGTGCTATATGAAACCAGATCAATAATTGCATTGAATTGATGAGAAAGTGAGCAAGATACTGACAGTTATGACAACACCACCGCCACTCTTTGGGCCTAAAGTGAGACCAAGTGGCTTATCAACTTCAGCCTCAATTGTCTTTGAAGCTCCAGCAGTTTTTGCAGTTATCTCAAGTCTCCTTCTAGCAATGGAGGAAGATCCTGAAACACCTCTTTTGGCTTCATAAAGTGAGAGGCCTAGCAAAGAAGTTTTCTGCAAAGACACACACACACATGCAAGAATTAAGAAAATATATCAAAAGACATGATTCTAATTGTAACTGTAAATCATGCAAAGAAAATAACAGTACCTGGGATGGAGGAGTGAGTGTCTTGGAAGGTGTGAGATGAGAGTTTTTGATTGTGGGGAAGGTGGCAGAACATGAAGAAGAGGTACCTGCAACCATAGATGACATGGTTTCTTCGTGTGTGGTAGACACAAGCTTGGTTGAGATGGTGTTGGGAGAGAGAATATTTTTATTTTTATTTTGAAAAGAAAAAAAGATAATATTTGTCTGGTGGTGGATGGATATGAAGACACCAAAACACTTCAATTCGTGTTTTGATATGTTCCTCTAAAGTGAACTAATTTAGACTATGCTTAATTTTCACAACTCAAGGATATAAAGACAAATACTTCTACATTACATTTCAAGATCAAGATGGATGTTTCAATATATTCGTAATATTTTCGATCGATTTGATAATTATTACATTCAATTCGATCATATTTTTTGTTTTGTAAAGTTAAATATATTTCATATAACCCTTAAATCTACGTCCGTCTTCAATTTAAAGTTGTTGAACTAAATCTTCAATTCATTGTCAATCGAGAATGAATGATACTTAAATTTTATAATTTTTTGATTGTCTGAGTATTGTAGGAGATTCTTCGGTAGAAATTTCAGATCTACAAAAGGGATGTAGTATGTGAACTTAAATGCAATTGAGGGCTCTGCGTCGTTAAAGTAGACATATGAGATATGCGAAATTATGTTCAGTCTGGTGTAATGTGATTTTGTAAAAAATATGAGATGATATACGCATATTTATATAAGTTTTAGACTAATATGTACCTTAGAAATTTTATCTTGTACAAAGAGAAATTCTAGAAATGAAATTTTAGAACCACCATATTCTGATCTTATGGAAATGCATTTTTGGAACCACCAAACACAAAATCAATTTAAAAAACAGTTAGAAACAAAACTTGTTATAGAATGGAAAATGGAGACAGATTTTGAAAACTTAAATATATATTAAAATCTTTGAAAATGTATATATTTGACATCATTAATATTAAGACAAGATTACATACAAAATATGTCTAATCGCATAAATACATCCATGAATAAAAACTAAAACGAATATAAACATGTATCACCGATTAAATCTAGATTTATGAGTGGTTATGTCTTTGACTTTTATTTATTTGTTTTTCTTTCGATCTTGCTAAACTAGGTGAATTCTTGCATCCTATCCAAAAAATAATTCGACCAAATTTCAGCATTCCGATTTCAAATAATTTTGAACAAAATGCCACATTTTGAAAGCCATCAATACACATAATACGATCATTTGAATTTTGAGGTGGGGCAGTGCGCAGTGGAAAAAAATATTTTCGAGAAACTATATCTTATCAGATCAATACACACTCTTTCATATGCATTTGCTATAAGAAGACTCATTTCAAGAAAGTGTGTCCATTTTTTCTCCGATATCGATTCACTAACGCAAGGAACAAGAAATTCATGAATTGCATCTAAATTTTCTTTTTTGCCCATATAGTTGTGCGTATGATTCTTTATGGCCCTTTAATTTTTTGATAATATGTTGGCAGAAAAATGGATGATCATCCTCTCCTTTAGCATGTCGTCGAAGTTTACTCACATGTTGTAGTCAAATTGTGTTCTAGTATGTAATTGTCGAATTGAGCCTTGTGTTAAGGATCCAATTGTTTAACTTAGCTTGTACCCTAAGTTAGCTTGTAATAGATAATTGTTAAAAAAAATCATTAGTTTAGTATGTTATATTTTATTAAAAATAGCATACTAGTCTCTCAGCTTAAGTGTGGTGTGACAAAACCTAATTAAGGTGAGAGGGTTATTTGTTATTCTTGAGTACTTGTAATCTGTTTTACAGATAAAGTAAATAATAGCAATTATTACCAATCCTTGTTGTTCTCCTTGTTTTTCCTTAACCCTAACCCTTGTGTGTTTCTTGATCATAAAAAAACCGAGTATATTTTGTTTTAAGGCATCCTAATTCACAAAAAATTGGTGCGGTGAGCGTGGAGAAGATGCCTCAACAAAGTATGTGGTAGAAAAGTTCACCGGAGTGAACGATTTCGGTCTGTGGCGCTTGAAGATGAAAGCCTTATTGGTTCAATAAGGTTGTTTGGAAGCGTTGAAGAGAGAGGTAGTCATAGACGTTGCGTTAATGAGAAAAGAAAAGACGGCCATGATAGAGAAAACCCACAACGCAATATTATTGAGCCTTGGTGATAAAGTTCTTCAATAGGTATCAAAGGAGACTACGACATCGGGGTTATGGTTGAAACTTAAAAGTTTGTACATGACCAAATCTCTGGTGAATCGACTATACCTGAAGCAAGCTTTGTATTCATTCAAGATGAGTGAAGACAAAGTGTTGGTTGAGCAGTTGGATATGTTCAACAAGCTGATTCTTGATCTTGAAAATATTAATGTGAAGATCGATAATGAAGATCAAACACTATTGTTGTTGTGTGCTTTGCCCAGAACACATGCTCACTTCAAAGAAACTCTCTTGTACAAAAAGGAGTCCCTTAGCTTTGAAGAAGTTCAATAAGCCTTGTATTCTAAGAACTTGAACGAACGAAAGGAGCATAAACCTTCGACGGTTGGTGAAGGTTTGGCCGTTAAAGAAAAATTCTTGCGAAAGGATGGTAAGTTTGACAAGAAGAAAGGAAAAAGTAAGAAGAAGTATTATAGTGGCGAGGCATCTGGTATTCTATGTTATCACAATTAGAAGGAGGGTCACACAAGAAATGTATATCCTGAACACCTGAAAGATCATGGAGGTAAAGATACTGGCAATGCAACCATTGTTCAAGATAACTTTGAATCATCTAATGTCCTTGTGGTTTCAAGCGGTGACTCAAGAAAGGAGTGGATTATGGATTCAGGTTGCATTGGCACATGACTCCAAATAGAGAATTGTTCAAGGTGCTATGTGATCAAGATGGTGGATCAGTGCTGCTGGGAAACAAAAAATCTTGCAAAATTGCAGGTATTGGATCTGTGAGATTCAAGCTCCATGATGAGTCAATAAGGTTATTGACTGAAGTCAGGTATGTACCTGATTTGAAGAGAAATTTGATTTCTCTTGCTGAATTCAATAGGAAGGGATATGTTTTTCAAGGAGAGAAAAGTATAATAAGAGTCATGAAGGGGTCGAAGGAAGTCTTGAGGGGCATGAAGAAACAAGGTTTGTATACCCTTGAGGCTGAAGTTGTAAGTGGTTCGACAAATGTTGCATCCACGAAACCGTTGTCGAAAATTGAAATTTGGCATATGAGATTGGGCCATGTCAGTGAAAGGGGTCTAGTCAAATTTGTGAACCCTGTGTACTTGGAAAATCTTGCAGAGTGAAGTTCAACAAAGGTAAACAAAGAACTCATGGATCCCTTAATTACATCCACGCTGATCTTTGGGGGCATGCAAGGTCCCTATCACATTCAGGAGCAAGGTATTTTCTATCCATAGTTGATGATTATTCCAAGAAGTTATGGGTATTCATCCAGAAGACTAAGGATGAAACTTTTGAGAATTTTAAAGGTTGGAAGACTCTGGCCGAAAATCAGACTGCCAGAAAGGTCAAGAGGTTGAGAACCGACAATGGCCTTGAATTTTGCAATGAGGCATTCGACAGTTTTTATACTGCCTCAGGTATTGCAAGGCACAAAATTATTGCAGGTACTCCACAACAAAATGGTTTGGCAAATAGGTTTAATCGAACTATTTTGGAAATAGTTAGATGCATATTGCCTAGTGCTGGATTAAACAAGGTGTTTTAGGCTGAGGCTATTTCAACAGCAACATATATGATAAACAAGTGTCCTTCGACTGTGTTAGATGTGAAGACACCTGAAGAAGTTTGGTTGGGACATCCAGCTAGTCTCGACAAACTGAGAGTATTTGGCTGCATGGCCTATGCTCACATTAGGCAAGATAAGGTCGAACCTAGAACCCTGAAATGCATGTTCACGGGATACCCTGAAGGAGTCAAAGCTTATAGACTATGATGCCTAGAGCCAAGTCACAGGAGGTATATCACTAGTCGAGATGTAGTTTTCGATGAAGTAGAGATGAATTTTAAGAAATTTGATAATGTCGGCGAAGAGCTGGAACATGGAGAGATTCCCGTTGAGGTGGAGTGTGTTGATGCTGAATTGCGTACCCCAGATGAAGTTGAAGAAGAAGTAGAAGATGCTGTCGAAGATGAGGAGACTAATAATGACTATCTGCTAGCAAGAGACAGGTCGAGGAGACTCATCAAGCCACCTCATAGACTTAGGTATGCAGATCTTATAACTTATGCCTTAATCTCTGCAAGAGAGGTTCTATACGAAGAACTTGTAGACTATAAGGAAGTTATGAGGAGTCAAAAGAAGACTGAATGGATGAAGGCCATGGATCATGAGATGAAATCTCTTAATAATAACAACACCTGGGAACTGGTTAAGAAACCTGTTGGAGCCAGATTAGTCAGTTGTGAATTTTTAAAGTTAAGGAAGGAATCGAAGGAGTGACGTCAAAAAGGAACAAGGCAAGATTGGTCGCTAGGGGTTTCACTAAGAAAGAAGGTGTCAACTTCAATGATATGTTCTCTTTTGCTGTGAATCACAAATCCATTCGAATGTTGCTTGCCACGGTGGCACAGTTCGACCTTGAACTGGAACAGATGAATGTGAAGACTGTTTTCTTGTATGGTGATCTATATGAAATAATCCTAATGAGGAAACTTGAAGGGTATGTTGAAAAAGGGAAGGAAGATTATATATGCAAACTGAAGAGATCCTTATATGGACTGAAACAATCTCTTCGACAGTAGAATAGGAGACTCGACAAGTTCATGGCACGCATAAGTTTCATTAGAAGTCAGTTCGACCACTATGTTTACTTTAGATTTTGACCTGGTAATTCATTTGTTATTTTGTTGCTTTATGTGGATGATATTCTAATAGCAAGCAACAATGTCAAAGATGTAATGAGGGTGAAGGTTGAACTCAATAAGGAGTTCGACATGAAGGATCTGGGAGCTGCATCTAGGATTCTTGGGATTGACATCTAAAGAGATAGAGAGCATTCAAAATTATGCTTATCTCAAGAGGCATACCTATGGAAGATTCTCAAAAAGTTTGGTATGTCAAATT